TCCTAGATCCTAGAGGCCCTCAAGAGGACCCCCAATAGGCAAACATCGTCCCATTCCTTTGGGAAAACATGCGTTTTTTGGCACAGACGTTTTTTTCGTTTTCAGATCGTCTCAGACGGCCCAAGAGGCCCCCAAGACCGCCCAAAGACGGCACAAGAGGCCGCCAAGAGGGCCCCAATGACGGCCCCACATGCTTCAAGACGGCCCAAATGGCTCAGATGGCCTCCAAGATGCTTCCAAGACAAGACGCCTCCATGACGGCCAAGACGGCACCAAGAGAGCCCAAGATGGCCCCACGATGCACCCAAGACGGACCAAGATGGTCCAAGAGAGCCCAAGACGGCCCAAGAAACGCCCAAGAGGCTCCCAAGACGGCATAAAGGGTCGCCAAGAGGGCCCCAAGGCGGCCCCAAATGCTCCAAGAAGACCCCCGAAGAGGGGCCCTAGAGGGTCCCGAAAGGTTCGCAAGAGAGCCCAAAGAGGGCCACAGGAGGCCCTCAAGAGGGCCCGAGAGCGCCCCAAGAAGGCCCCAAGACTGCCCAAGTCCCCCAAGACGGCCCAAGTGGGTCCCGAGACAGCCCGAGAGGGCCGTAAGAAGGCCCCTTCCGCAGACACTTCGGTTCAAGGTGATCACATCTTGTCCCAAGCATCCTCAATCAACATCAACTGAACATCTCCTCTTATTTACATTTCCAAGCCACTGCCGATTCAGCGATGGTGTACAAGCTGATCTTCGTGACAGCATCCGCGCTCGCTTCCATTGTGGACGCCGAGCTGCATCTCATTCAGGTGTCCGTGCACGGGTCGGACGCCAGCAGTGAGATCACGCCTGACAGCCCGCTCTTCGCATGCGATTTCGAGGATGCCTCGGATCTCGGCAAAAACACTGCCGGTACGCCATCCACGGGCTTGCACACGCTCTACGGGTCTTACACGCAGTCGGCGGGCAAAAACGGCGTTGGAGCTATTTCCTTCGAGAGCTCTTCAGGTGCAGCAGAATTCTCAGTTTGAGCGGCGGGCGATACCTTTAGTATGTTGTTGTGGATGGACATGCGGGCGCACAATCCGAACGGTCGGTCTTACCTGATTGATTTTAGACGTCATGGGCAAGGGGCATTGTATTTTGACAGCGATAACACCGTGAAATGTAATGGCATGTACGGGAACTGTCAGGGCACTGCTGCGTGGGAGAGATCGTTTGCTTATCCGCATGCGTTTAACACTTGGGTGCATTTTGCGATCGTCTCAGACCCTACAGGCACGCGTCTGTTCAAGGACGGTGAATTGTTGCATGAGGCTCTTGCATCGAGTTGTGGCACAACTTTGAGCACCAGTTTGGTCGACGATGCAGTTCTCGGCACCTATTATAACTCAGTTGGCAGTTCAGGACAATACTTTCTGGATGCTTCCATCGACGACCTCCAGTTTTACCGGTCGGCGCTATCAGCGCAAGAGGTACATGACATCTACGCTGCTACGCCGGCGACGGCCTTCCCGACGGCCGACCCGACGCCCAGCCCGACGGCCGACCCGACGTCGTACCCGACTGCCTTCCCGACGCTGTACCCGACGGCCTTCCCGACGCCGTACCCGACAGCCTCAAACCCGACGGCCGTCCCGGCGACAGTGTCGTCTGCAGTTGGCGATCCGCATCTGCAGAACATTCATGGTGAGCGGTTCGACTTGATGAAGACGGGCAGGCACGTCTTAATCCACATTCCACGAAGGGACGATACGAACATCCTGCTTCGTGTGGACGGGGACGTGCAAAGGCTGGGTGGGCAATGCGCTGACATTTATTTCCAAGAGCTGAACATCACAGGGTCATGGGCGAATGTGAAACGCGCTGGCGGTTTTCACTACCGCGCTCAGGGCGACGGCGACCAACGCTCCCGCTGGGTCAAGTTTGGGACAGTACAGGTGAAGGTCGCCCACGGGCGCACACAACAGGGCTTCACGTATCTAAACCTCTACGTGAAGAACCTCGGTCGTTCCGGGTATCAAGTCGGAGGCTTACTCGGCGAAGATGACCACACCAAGGAAGCGATGGTGCCGCAGGCGTGCCATCACCGCGTCGCCTTATAATATTCTATGTGTTACATACAATGCTGTGCTGAGCGGGGTGCATGACTCCTCCTTCTTTTCCTCCGCTCCCTTACCGGCCTCCTTGGCGTCCTCCCCATCCGGCTCCTCCTCATCCTTCCTCCGTCTTCGCACGTCCCCGCGAGTCGGACCGATCTTGGATGGGTCTTTCCCTGTGTTTTTCTCTCTGGCCCGCCACCTCATACGCAGTGGTGGTGCCGTCAGTCCAGTTGTCCAGGCCACCAGTGTCTCGGTGTCCTGGCCTCCGGTCCTCCCAAGCTGCCCGCGCGGCACCTTGCCGAGTCAACAACTACGCGCATGTTCCCCCTCTTCCATACTCCTTTTGTCGTGCGTTCTGCAGCGTCATACACGCATGTTGTTCGATTTCCCTCCCGTGTGTCCTCCACCTCTGCCCCTTCCACGTGCTGTTTGTTTCTATTGATCCGTGAGCCATCCCGCTCTGGATGCGCGGAGTTCCGCCAGTGCCACTGCGTGCGGAAAAAACGAGGGTCGCAAGAAGGCCCAAAAGAGCCCCCCAAAGGAGCCCCACGGAGGCCCCAAGAGGGCATATTCTTAATTTTTCGCAAGGTTTCGCGTCCGTTTTTTTTTTCGACGTACCAAGGTCTAACACCAGTAAGGCTCCAAGACCCTAAGCAAGCGATCGAGCGCCCTCACGAAGTACACGCGCTTTCCGAGCAGATGACGGAAAGATCGACGTACGATTGATGACGCTGAGTTGGGGCGAAGCCCTCTAGGGAGGGGTCCAGGGGAGGGGGGAGGAGCGGTGACATAGGTCTAAAGGCCCTTCCCTCCCCTAAGAGGCCCCCAAGACGGCCCAAGACCCGATCAGGACAGCCCGAGATACCCCCAAGACGGCCCAAGAGTGGTCCGAGACGATTCCAAGATGGCCCAAGAGCGCTCAAAGAGACCCCGAGACCGTCCAAGACCGTTCCAAGATGGCCTAATATGGCTTTAGGACGGTCCAAGAGGGCCGCAAGAGGCCTGCAAGAGGCTTCCCAAGAGGGCCCGAAGAGGCAAACATCATTGATTATTCGCATATTTTTCGGGTCCTCGCCTTTTCGGGCCAAGAACTACCCAAAACTGCAAATATCGCCCCAAGACGGCCCAAAAGGCCCCCCAGGGGCCCGAACACGATCCAAGGGGACCCCAAGACGGCCCAAGAGGGCTCCAAAACGGCCCAAGAGGGCCCCACGACGGCCCCAAGAGAGCGCCCCAAGACTGCCGAAAAAGGCTCCAAGGCGGCCTAAGGGGCTCTCCAAACGGCCCATACGGGCTCCAAAAAGATCCCCAATCAGCCCAAGAAGTGCCGAGGAACACCATGGCTCCCAACAGCGAGCGGTGACGTAATAAGCTCTTGACACCAAAGCTCCCCAGAGCCTGGTGACGTACTTGTCCTGGCGACTGACCCGACCATGTGCAGCCGTGTCTTCTTCCACCGAAGCCCGAGCTCGAAGGCCGCTGGCGACGCATCCAGTTCGGCGACGCGGGGGGGCCCGCAGCAGAGGTCGCGTCGGATCTCGGGGGGGCCGAGAGCGCCGAGGAGTTCGCAGCAGCAGGGCCCGAATCCTTCGTTCAAGGTTTTTTTTGCAATCCTTCGTCCAAGGGTTTTTTTGCAATCCTTCGTTTTTTTGCAATCCTTCGGGCAAGCGCGCAGGGGGGAGGGGAAGCAGAGGGCCACGAGGCCGAGGAGGGCCCCGGGGGCTTCGGGCCCGCGCCGGAGGCCGCTCCGTCGAAGGGCCCGAGGACCGTCAGGAAGCGAGCGTCTCGGGAGGAGAAGGCGGTCCCGAAGGGCGCTCCTCCTCCTCCTCCTCCTCCTCCTTCTCCTCGGTATCCTCCTCCTCCTCATTATCCTCCTCCTCCCCCTCCTCGTTATCCTCCTCCTCCTCCCCCTCCTCCTCCTCCTCCTCCTCCTCCTCCTCCTCCTCCTCCTCCTCCCCTCGGGAGGAGGAGGCGGTGCCAGGGGAGAGGTCCATCCACCGCCTGCAGGGGGCCCGAGGCGCGAAGCGCGCTGCGCGGCGAGCGCGGCGCCAGGCGGTCGAGGAGAATGTGGAGGCAAGGATCGGAGGCGACGATAGGGGCGAATAGCCCAGGGGGGAGCAATACATGTATCCAGGGGCGCCGATGACCCATGTCTTCGGCGAGGCTCCCCAGCGAATGCGCGTAATGCCCGCCCCTGGGCTGTTCGCCCTCCTCGTCTCGTCGCCGCCGAGAGGAGGAAGCATGGGGAACGCGTGAAGTGAGCTTCTAACGTTGTTCACGCTATTTCCGATGTTTTGCAACGTTTTCAAGCTTCCCAATCCCGGCGATGCAGATCTGGGCGAACCTTTCTCAGACTGTGTCATGCTTTGTTCTTCAAGCTTCGAAGCCCAGGAGATCTTTTTTTGAAGCTGTGTTCGAACTGTTGCCCCACATTATCCCATGTGTTCCCAAATTTCCAGACTTCGAATTCTGGGCGAAGGTTTTGATGTAACACATGTTTCCTAATATTTGAATCTCGGAAATCCGGGCGGTGTTTTGAATTTTCTTGGAGCTGTGTCACCGTTTTCACCCAATCTGGGCGAACATGTTCAAGCTTTGTGAAAACTTGTTACACACTTCCAGATCCGGACGAACTTTTTTGATTTTAATTCCAGGCAAACTCACAGTCATGTTTCGCCCGCTTCGTGATTTCACATCCTTCCCATTCTCGGCGACTCAGATTTTGAGTGAAACCAAGGTTTCAACAGGCTGCCTGCTCCAGGCGACACCACCCAAGAGCCCAACTCTCCGTGACAGACCTCCAGCCGGATCGATCCGCGAGGGTCTCCCGGCCCGACTCCGGGCGAAAACGGGCCGTGGGAAAGAGCAGCCGCGCTCCGATCGCAGGGATGGTCCAGTCGTGGCTTTTCTCGGCCGAGGAGCTGCTGGCCTTTGTGCTCGACCGGCTGCACGACGACCTCAACCGCAACGCGCAGGCGGCCGCCAGTGGCCAGTCCGGCAGAGGCCGTCTCGGGAGTGCCTCGTCGCTCGCCGTCTGCCTCGAGGAGAGACGACGAACGAGGAGGGAGGAAATCGGGGGTGGACAGACCTCCTACCCTGACACGTCGATGAAGGAATTGGCCGTTTTCGGTTCGCGAGAGGGCGTCGCGGCCGTCATTTTTGCGGGTCCAGGTCCGTCGGTTTCGGTCCCAGGTCGTTTTCACTAAGGGGAGGTCTACTAAAGGGAGGTTTGTCCACCGCCGAGGAAAGGGGAGGAGCCTCCCCCTCCCTCCCCCCACCTCGCCCCTCCCCTCGCCCTTCCCTCCCCCGCTTCCAGACATGTGGTCAGAGCTGCTCCTCTCTCTCTCTCTCGTTCGACCACGTCCTGAACAATTTTCCCGCCATTGCCGATTACTCTTTACAGGTAGCTTTCTCGAAGACGCGTACTTCTGATTCGTTGTTGTTGTCCAATCGGATACCTTTCGCTTCATTCAAAACGATGATCCCGCTGCAGCGTTGGCCTCGCTTCCAAAGTCTGGAAACTGCTCCCGTCGTCCCGACCAGCGCTGTCGCCCCAGCGTTAAGTCGGGCCTGTCCCTCTACAGGAGGAATATTGAAACGTAGTCAAAAATAGTCTGGGGACTCTTTTTTGGGGGGTATTTGTTTATGTTGAACATTTTTTTATTTCTTCATTCTTCATCCAAAATCCCCCTGGATTTTTTTTGACTATGTTTGGATTGTTTAACTTCTTTTTGTTGTTGTTGTTGTTGTTGTTGTTGTTGTTGTTGTTGTTGTTGTTGTTGTTGTTGTTGTTGTTGTTGTATTTTTCATTTTTTGTCCAAAGTTCCCCTGCATGGGGACAGGCCTCGCCGGATCCGGGTGCTGCCTCGCCGCTGCCGCCCCCTCCCCCTCCCCCTCCCCCGCCCTCCCCCGTGGCCCTCCCGCTCCTCCCGCTCCTCCCGCTCTCGCTGGCGCCGCTCCTCTTCGTCCAGCTCTCGCACTCCTCCTCCTCCTCCTCCCCCTCCTCCTCCTCGGCCTCCTCCTCCTCCTCCTCCTTCTCCTCCTCCTTCTCCTCCCTCTCTCCCCCCCTCCCCTCCTCCCGCTCCTCCCTTGGCATCGCTCGGACGTGTGAATCTTTTTCCTCGGGCGAGGAACATCGAGGAGCATCCTCGATCCTTTCGCGAGAAAAAGCCGCGCACGAAACCGGAAAAAAAAACACACAGGACATGGACGTCCGAGCGATGGCCAGCTCCCGCTCTCGCCGGCGCCGCTCCTCTCCGTCCGGCTCTCGCCCTCATCGCCCTGCCTGCCCCCCGCCCGCCCAGGCCTCTTCGTCGCCGTCGTCCTTCCCTCTTCCTCCTCCTCTTCCTCCCCGTCTCCCCCCCCCCCCAGACGACGTCCCGTCTGGAGCAGAAACAGCGAGACGAGGCTTTCTGCCCCAGCTTTCGGCCTCCGGGGACCCTCGGCGGGCCCAGGCAAAGAGAGGTCACAGCGGCAGGCCACCCTGGAAGAAGGTCCAGACCTCGCGGGGCCCGCGCCGCGGAAAACACGCCACGACGCCTGAGGTCTGGGTCTTCGCTTGAGTCGGGCGCGTCCCTCTACAGGAGTAGTATTGAAGATAGTCGAACATAGTCAGGGGACGATTTTTCGTTTATTTCTTGTTACTTTGGGTGTATGTTTTGACTATTTCTAGTTATTTCCCCAAAACTCTGCCCGTAGGGGTACATGCCCGACCTAAGTCTTCGCCCCCCCCCTCCAGGCAGAGAGGCAGAAAGCGGAAGCAGCAAGGGGGGAACGGTCAGCGAGCGCGCGCGCAACCCCTTCCCGGTTTGGGGGGCATAGCGGGACCCCGCGTTTCTGTTTCTTGAAGACGGCACGGGACGGAAGATAATGAAGACGAGGATGACATTTATGATGTTTGATTTTTTTGTGTAAGACGTAGTGACGAGGTGCCTTTGATTTGTTTTGTAACGACGCCTGTGTCACGACAGTTTTTGTACGGATCCCATTTGCCAGACATTCTTAGTAAGGGTGCTTGTAGTAAGGATCCCCTCAGTAAAGACCCCATGTAGCTCAAATTCTTCCGAAATTATCCCTTCAGCAAGGAATCCTTTGTAAGCATCCCTGTATCACGGATTCCTTGTCAATGATGTTTCGGGCACGGATTTATTAGTCAGGATAGTGTTGCTACGGGATCTTGGGTAAGGACCCTTTCAGTAAGGAGCTTCTGCTAGGGATGCCTATATTGAAGAGTCTTTAGTGAGTTTCCTTGGTAGTACGGAAGCCTCAGTAAGGATGCCTTCAGTGAGGACTCCTTAGTAAGGGTGCGATCAGTAAGGGATCCTTGTAACGAGTTCTTCAGTACGGGTTCCTTAGTAAGGAGCCTTTTAGTAATGACTCCTGTTTTAAGGATTACCTCCGTAAGGGTCCCGGAAGGAAGTACGCCATAGTAAGGACCCCTTCAGTAAGGAGGCCTGTGTTACTATTACTTGAGTGAGGACTTCTTATTCAAGATGCCCTGAGCAACGGTTTCTTAGCACTAATGTCTTTGATATGGGCTCTTTAGTCAGGAGTTCTTTAGTAAGGAGTCGTTTTCCATGCTTCCGGTATAGCATGATTCGTCCAACACGTGTTCCTGAGTATTGATGATTTTAGCATGGGATTTTTACTATTCTAATGCGCCTGGAGGAGAAATCCATGTTGTGAGGTGTCCTTAGTAGCGATTCGTTTGTGACGGAGTCGCAAGCATCGCTTTAGAAAGGCATCCTTGATATGCTTCTAGTACGGATTCCCTCAGTAAGGATCCCTGTAAGATGGATTCGTCACTAAGGATTCCTTTAGCAAGGGTTCCCCAGGTAGGATGAGGGACTTTACATATTCCTGTTCTTCGGGATCTTTCGTAAGGATCCCTTCAAGACGAATCCTTTGGAAACGGATCCTTCGTAAGGGTCTATGTCTCAATGAATTCTTCGTAACGGGATACTTTGAGTCATGGGTTTTTGGTAAGGACGTCTCTAGCTTGGAGAATGATGACGCACCGCCGCCACCTTAAGCCCCCTCCGAACAAAAGCGTCGCGAACATCGCCTCCGACAGAGCGTTCGGAGCCAGTCCAGCACCTTCCTGCCCAGTTCAGCTCGGCGCACCTCCCCCGCCCAGGATGCCCAGGCCCCCGCCACAGAGTCAGGCAGTTCGGGGATCGGGGCGGGGGTGCCACGTGGTGGTGGTAGTGTATATTCTCTGTGGAGCCTTTACGAGGCATCCTCGCAGTCGGTTTCCGTGGCTCTCCTGGCGAACCCCGGGAGAGGTCGAGGGCCGGTCTCTCCTGGGGCCCGAGGCGCAGCGACACGCCGGGCTCGCCTTTGCAGGGCGGCAGTAGGGCGCAGCGCGGAAGCCGGGTGTGTGCACTGGTGCTGGATTCCCGGGGGAGGGCGCCAGGTGGTGGTGGTGAGGGGGTGGACCTAAGCGGTGTTTTGGCGATTTCGTGGGCCCGTTTTCGTTTCGATGTCGTTTTGCGGTAGAGGCGGAGAGAAGACAAAATGAGGGAAAACGAAAACAAAACGAAAACGAAAACCACCGTTTAGGTTCAGCCCTGTGTTGCTTCTTGTTTCCAGGGGGGATGGCGCCAGGTGGTGGTGGTGGTCGTGGTTTTGTTCGCTCTCTTATTTAGTCAGGAGTCTGTGGTAAGGACCCCTTGAGTAAGGCTTCCCGGGCCAGGGTGCTTGTAATACGGATTCCTTAATGAGGATGCCTTTCATAATGATTCATTGGTAAGGATGCCTTCAGGAACGGATCCTGACGAAGGAGTTCTTCAGTCAGGAGTCCTTAGTGAGAAGTCCTTGATTCAGAAGTCCCAGTCATCTTCCCTTTGCAGTAGAGTCCGTTGCAAAGATGCCTTTCGAAAGGAATCCTTAGTAAGGACCCCTTCAGTGAGGACTTCTGAACAAACACTCACGTTGTAAGACATCTGTAGTCAGGAGTCCATTGATAAGGGGTGCTTAGTAACGATCCCTTTTTGTAAGGGTCTTGGGTAGGGTGCCCTAAGGGTGCCCTTTAGGAAGGATATCTGAATATTATTGTTCTGTGACGGTCCCTAAGTAAGGATGCTTTTAGCAAGGGTTTCTTGGTGAGGACGCTTTTTCAGTAAGCATTTCCCTCATCAAGGATGGCTTCAGGAAGGAGTCCCCCAGTAAGGGCTCCTTCGGTAAGGATGCCTTACTCATGTTCTCTTTCGGTCGGGATTCTTAGTATTACAGCCTTTTGTGGGCGTTCCTTACTAAGGACCCCGAGTGAGGGCTCCTTCAGTAAGGAGTCTTTTAGTAAGGGGTCGATCAGAGATGTTCCCTTAGTCAGCGGCACTTTGAAAAGGGTTCCTGTAACAAGAGGTTCCTGAAGCAAGGGGTCCACAGAAGGGGGCGGAAGGATGAGCAGGAAGGAGGAGGTAGGTGGGCCTGGAGGGAAAGGTCTCAATAGGGGGGGGGGGGGACACGACACCCTAAATCCAATGGCCCCGTTGTTGTTGTTGTTGTTGTTGTTGTTGTTGTTGTTGTTGTTGTTGTTGTTGTTGTTGTTCTTGCTGTTGCTGTCGTTGTTGTTGTTGTTGTTGCTGCTGCTGCTGCTGTCGTTGTTGTTGAATGTTAATTACTAAACAACTATTATTGTTCGATCCCCCCAGGCGCTTTGACGCTCTCGCCTCGGCGCCGGCTACATTGTCATTGAAAATCAGGCTCACGCTCGAGCGGTTTGGGGATCGCCCAAACTGGCCCCCAAACAACAACAACAACAACATCAACAGCAACACCAACAACAACAACACCAACAACACCAGCAACAACAACGCTCCCGCTCGAGACTTCCTCCTTTTTTGCTCAGGGCCGGTGCTCTTGCTCGCCGCCGGAAGCCGCCGTCCCAACAAAACCAGCGCTACCGCTCGAGATTTCCTCCCGTTTTACCCAGGACTGGCGCGCTACTCTTTCTCTCGTCGTTGCCGCCCCCAGCAACAACAACGCTCCCGCTCGAGACTTCCTCTCTTTTTTGCTCAAGGCGGTGCTCCTCCTCGCCGCCAAAAGCCGCCGTCCCGACAAAACCAGCGCTCCCGCCCGAGACTTCCGCTCCCAGCAAGAAAAACGCTCCCGCTCGAGGCTTCCTTCCTTTTTCCTCAGGACGGTGCTGTTCCTCGCCGCCGACAGCTCCCTTCCCGACAAAACCACTGCTCCCGCTCGAGATTTCCTCCCTTCGTACTCGAGGCGGTGTTCCTCCTCGCCGCCGACAACCGCCGTCCTAACAAAACCAGCGTTCCCGCTCGACACTTCGTTTTGTTTTACGCTGGACTAGCGCCCTACTCTCTTCAGCATTGGCGCCGCTCCCAGTTACAACAGCGGCCCTGCTTGAGACTTCCTACCTTCCTATTCAGGTTCCAGGTCCTTGCCTCGCCGCAGACAGCCCCCATCCCCACCAAGGCAATCCTGTCGCTCGATATTTCCTTGCCCTTTACCCTTCGCTGTGGCTCCACTGGCGGTCTCGCATCGGCGCAGCAAGGCGTGGGCATGCGTTTTCGAGGCGGGATATGTTGAATTTCCTCGGAGGAGGTGTTTGCAAGACCTCATTTGGCGGGAGATCTGGATGTGGGAATAACGAACCCCACTACAGAACAAGAGTCCCCCATGCTGGGGATGGTTATCATGATGGTCGCATGCTTCGTGTGGAAACATGGCGCATGTTGGTAACGTGCTTGTCATTGGTGTTGCTGTTGTTGTTGTTGTTGCTGTTGTTGTTGTTATTGTTGTTGTTGTTGTTGTTGTTGTTGTTGTTGTTGTTGTTGTTGTTGTTGTTGTTGTTGTTGTCTGGGTGTGGGTGGGGAGGACAGCAAACGGACCTAGTCGATTTCGAAGTCCGTTCTTTTCCATGCGGGGTCTTTCCCCCAGGGGAAGACCCCCTTCTCTCCGCCACAAACGGAATCAATTCACCCCTCCCCTCCCCCTACAAAGGGTAACCCCCACAGAAGGAATCTACGCAGAACCACACTCCCTAAAGAGAATCTACGTGTAACCCTTGACGGCGGACACCTAGGTATAACCTACCTGCAGAGTTCATAAAGCGCCCCTCCCCCCTCATCCGTCGGGGTCCCCAGGACGTCGTAGCAAGCAGATTGTTGCCATAAACTGGTACGAAGATACCGTGAGTGGCCCAGGCTTCTCACGAGTAGATGATTTGATTCAATGCCCCCCGAGCTCCATTCGATTCCTCCTCCATGCCTCCTCCTCCTGCCTCCTGCCTCCCCCCCTCCTCATCTCTGGCTTCCCCCTCTTTCTCCTCGCGCCAGGCCTGACACTCGGAGGCCCCTATCTCTCCAGAGGGCGCTTCCTTCCCAGCAGCGGGTTCTGCTTCTGCTCGCCGGCTCTCGCCTGCGCCCGTGAGTCTCCGTCGCCTAAACGAGATCTTGGTGAGATGTTTCGGACCCCGGGTAGTTTCGACCAGCTGCGCCTCGTCGAGAGCGTTCGGGGTATGTTGGGATCGCCCCGGACGACAGTCGGTCGACCCTGATCCGATCGTCCCGATTCCGTATCGCGTTTGCCAGGCCAGGTCCGTTTCGATACCAATAGAATTTTGGTGATCAGATGCGGCCCGATGCTCACCCTGGCTCGGTTGTGCATCCTGGCGCGGCCGGTCCGACTCGATTCCGACTCCGTGCCGATGCAGCCCGATCCGACGCACGTTTCCATCCGATCAGCTTTCCCGATTTAATTCTGACGAATCCTGCCCCACTGGCCCTGGGGACCGTGGTCGTGCGCTCGCGCTTTGACCAGATGGTCTGGGCTTTTAATCTTTGTTTGGGTCGGGATGTTTTAGGTCGATATGGCGCCTGGAGTCGGCATGGTTTGGGTCTGTACGGCTCTAGGCGGCAAGGCCTGGTTAGGGCCTCACCGGCGCTGCGAGGCTGGACTCCCAGCATGACCTCAGGCGCCCGCTGCCGCTGCTGTCTAATCTTGCCGCGGCTGCGATCTCTGCGGCCTCGGGCGAGACCGAAGAAGGGTGACCGCTCTTCACTTCCCGAAGCCGCCTGTCGACAGCTTCCTCGGGGTGGAAGTGGCAGAGTCCTGCCTCCCCACCCTCCTCGACGAGGGCGCGGAGGAGGAGGATAGGGGGAGCGAGCGAGCGAGCGGGCAGGGCAGGATGGCCGAGCCCGCAGGCCCCATCAGCCACCGCCGCGACTCGGGCACGCCAAAGCTGTTCAAGACGATGGCGACGCGCGGAGGCGCCTCTCGCTTCGTTCTCCTCTGCCCGTCTCCGCCCGCCCCCAACACGTCTTGCCCTGGCCAGGGGAGCAGGAGGCGCACCGATCCTCGAGCGTGCCTGCTCCTGCTGACAGGGCGACGGGCTGGAACACCAGAGCGGGTGCGAGGAGCACCCAGGGCAGTGCTTTTTTGGATACGGCGGTTCTGGGTGGGCAGCGGGCCATAACTCGAACGGTACGGGATACAGGGACACCTTACGACAGACGACAGCTGGCACAAAGAGTAATGGAAGCCACTTGAGAATTGTATTCATATTTGACGGGTTCCGTGAACAAGCGTTGGGACAGATAGAGGGAGAGACAGAGAAAGAGAGAGAGAGAGAGAGCACAACATGGAAATAGGGAGCCGAAGTTGTTTGCCAAGCTATGACACGCACTTGTTTTGGCACGCTATTGTCATCCCTTTCCTCTTCCTCCTTGCTGGTCCCTGCCTCCCTCCCGTGGATCGGGAAAGGGGGGGTCTGAAAGCTGGTGCGTGCAGCCGATTTCGACTTCGGCCCCCGCCGTCGGGCGCTTTTCCCTATGCATGGGCGCCGCACTGCGCACCTCCGCTCACTGCCGCTGACTGCCGCGCCAAGCACCGAGCGGCGTTGACCGGTTTTTTAAGCACTCTTCCTTTCCAAGTCTTTGCCCAGATGCTCTCTCTCTCACATATATATATATATATATATATGTATCTATATATATATATGTATATTTCTCTCTCTCTCTCTCTCTCTATATATATATATATATCTATATATCTATATATATCTATCTATATATATATCGGACACGTGAGCCCAGCAAGTTCTCCTCAGAGGCAGGCCCCAGAGTCCTCCCAGGGTCCAACTTGCCTGGCTTCTCGAGCCGCGTCCGACCTGGGCGGCGAGAGTGCCCCAGGAAAGCACTCCATACTTCTAACACGCCGACGCCGACGGTCGTCGACGCCATTTACGTCGACGTCATCTACGACGACGTCGCCGCTGTTTTGACGACGTCGAGTTCGTGGTCGTCGCCGTCGACGTCGACATCATCGACGTCATCGACTTCGCCGTTGCGTCGCCGTCAGGGGAAGCGGAACACTCGAGTTCGCTGTCTTTTGATTTGCCGACGCTTTTTGACGGCCCCTCCCGAATCTTGACGCAAGTCGTCATTTTCCTGACGGCCCCGTCAAGCCGACCCGAGTCGACGCCATCTGCGCCGATGCCGCCGCTGTTGCCGTCGACGACGTCAGCGTCCTCGCCGTCGTCCTCGGCGCCGTCGCCGCCGCAGCCGTCGCGGCCGTCGACGTCGTCGACGTCGCCGTCGACGTCGACGGCCCACTTCCACGCCGCCGCTGGGGCCTGGCCGCACCGCGCCCGCCAGGCGGCGCCGCCTCCTCGGCCCCGAGCTCGCCGAAGCGCGGCGCGCGGCAGGCCCCGGCCCCGTGGGGCGCCGCGGTGGCCGGCGGCGGAGGCGCCGTGGCCGCGGCGGCAGCCAGCGGTGCCCGCCGCCCCATGATGCTAATCGCCAGGGGGGAGCGGGTCCCGCTCCCTCCTCCCTCCTCCCTCCTCCTCCTCCTCCCTCCTCCCTCCTCTCCTCCTCCTCCCTCCTCCCTCCTCCTCCTCCTCCTCCTCCTCCTCCTCCTCCTCCTCCTCCTCCTCCTCCTCCTCCTCGAGGGGGGACGCGAGAATGAGAAGGCCCTCTCAGAAGGCGGCGGGGGCTTCTCAGGAGCCCTCTGGCCCTTGAGAAGTCTTCGGTGTCTTCGGGGAAGGCTGCAGCACCTTCTCGGGAGGCTCGCCTCGCCCCTTCTCACTTCCCCTCGTGCTCGCCGCCAAGAGCGGGTACGAAGACCGACAGTAGTTCCTGCTCATGTTTTGCACGACTCGCTGTCGGTGTCGCCGCGGAGGTTATCCACTTTAAAAGGCCGCCTGCTCTTCAGCGGCAGCTGTCGGTTTTGGGCAACATGTGCTGTTCGGTGTCGTAGCCATTTTGTGCGTATCCATCTCGGGCGTCGAGGGCTGCGTGCAATGGGAAGCGAGCTCACATTAGGGAAGGTGGAGAAAGGCGCTCCGTTCGTGCACCTTCGAGCCCTCGAGGGGCCCCTTGGGACCCAACACAACTCCTGGGAGGTCAAATGCTGATTTTGCCCTGGCCCGAATTCCGGCTTAATCCGGTGAGATCCCGCCCCATCCCTCGGGACGACCGACATGGGCACGGAAAGCATGGGTACAATGCCCAACAGCAGCTCCTGTTCATTCTGAGCAGGGCTCGCTGTCCGCGCCGCCGCGGCCCGTGTCCACTCGAGACAGAAGGCCGCCTGCCCAAGAGCGCCCGCTGTTGGTTTGGGACAGCATGTGTTATTGGGCACTGTGCCCATTTTTTTTCCGTACCCCTTTCGGGCGTCCGAATCTTCGCCAGGGGGGAGCGGGTCCTGAGGGAGAGGGTTCCTGATATTTGTTTGCCGTTCTCGGGCTCCTGGGGCCGCCACGGGCCCCCAGGCCTGTCAGAGAGCGGCTCAGGCAATCAAGAGCTCGTCCTGGGGGAAGGCCCCAGGCACCAGTACCCGATTCCCCCAGGACCCAGGACCCGTTCCCCCTATGCTCATCTCGCGGGCGCTGCTTGGCACGATGCGATCGAGACTGGTCGGGGGTTTGGCAAGGGGGTGCCCCAAGCCCAAGGTGCCCCCAGCTTTTCGCCCCCTTTTGGAGCCTTTGGGGCCTTGGTTCACCACCCACCAAACCACCCCAACCCAACCCGAAGGCTCAGATTTGCCCTACATTTCCAGTGGGGGGGGGGTCGCGGAACATTGAAAAAACACGTATGGAACCCTTACCCCCCCAAACCCGAAATTCGGGCCTTCGGGTTGGGTCGGGGTGGTTTGGTAGGTAGTCATTGGTGGCCTCCCTGGATATCCCAGGGGCACCTCAGGCCAGGGGCGGGGAACAAACACAGTGGCATAAACATACAAACTCTGAGGTCCGCGGAGATGTCTCGGGGCGGCGCCAGAGCACTCCTCCCTCCTCCCTCCTCCCTCCTCCCTCCCTCCCCTCCCTCCTCCTCCTCCTCCTCCTCCTCCTCCTCCTCCTCCTCCTCCTCCTCCTCCTCCTCCTCCTCCTCCTCCTCCTCCTCGGTGCCTCTGGCGCCGATCCGAGAAATCTGCGCGGACATGGCGGCGGCGAGCGAGGGGGGACGCGAGAATGAGAGGGCCCTCTCAGAAGGCGGCGGGGGCTTCTCAGGAGCCCTCTGGCCCTTGAGAAGTCTTCGGTGTCTTCGGGGAAGGCTGCAGCACCTTCTCGGGAGGCTCGCCTCGCCCCTTCTCACTTCCCCTCGTGCTCGCCGCCAAGAACGGGTACGAAGACCGACAGTAGTTCCTGCTCATGTTTAGCAAGACTCGCTGTCGGTGCCGCCGCGGAGGTTATCCACTTTACAAGGCGCCTGCTCTCCAGCGGCAGCTGTCGGTTTTGGACAACATGTGTTGTTCGGTGTCGTAGCCATTTTGTGCGTATCCATCTCGGGCGTCGAGGGCTGCGTGCCATGGGGGGGCGAGCGCACATGAGGGAAGGTGAAGAAAGGCGCTCCGTTCGTGCACCTTCGAGCCCTCGAGGGGCCCCTTGGGACCCAACACAACTCCTGGGAGGTCAAATGCTGATTTTGCCCCGGCCCGAATTCCGATCCCGCCCCATCCCTCGGGACGACCGACATGGGTACGGAAAGAATGGGTACAATGCCCAACAGCAGCTCCTGTTCGTTTGAACAGGACTCGCTGTCCGCGCCGCCGCGGCCCGTGTCTATGTGAGACAGAGAGCCGCCCGCCTGCCCAACAGCGGCCGCTGTTGGTTTTGGACGACATTTGTCGTTGGGCATTGTGCCATTTTTTCCGTACCCTTTCCGGGCGTCCAACATCCCGCTTCACCCGGCTGAGTCTTGCTCTGCCCCGCTCCATCCGCGGCGCAGGCTGGCGTGGCATCCCCCATATGTATGGGGCTTCCTCCTCCCCAGTACCTCCGACGAAGACCTCCCGGCAGTTTGCTCCTAATCTCGGCCAAGCTCGAACCGCACATACTTCGGTCACGCTTCGGGCGCGGCCAGGACAAACTCCGGGCGGGAAAACGGCACACACACACAGACACAATGAATCGTCGGTTCCCTAGAAAATGTGGGAACATATGGGAAGTGGGGGGAAGACAGAAGGCACACACACAGACACAATGAATCAACGATTCCCTAGAACATATGGGAAAATATGGGAAGTGGGGGGGAAGACAAAAGCCCAGAAAATATATGAAAATATAGGGAATCACGTTGTTTGTGTCTATTTGCTTGTGTGTCCCAGGGCCCCTTCAAAACTTCTGGCCCCCGTTCCTCGGGCACAGCCTCGGCCCCGACGCCTCCCTGCCCGAGAGGCGAGGCCGCGCGGCGTCTCTTCGCCCTCCTCCGCCTCCGCCTCCTCCTCCTCCTCCTCCTCTTCGCCCTCCTCCTCCTCCTCCTCCTCCTCCCCCCCCCCTCCTCCTCCTCCTCCTCCTCCTCCTCCTCCTCCTCCTCCTCCTCCTCCTCCTCCTCCTCCTCCTCCTCTTCCTCTGCCGCCCCTCCCCCCCCGTGGAGCAGCGCCCCAGCTCTCTCGCAGGGGCGCCGCCGGCAGGCGCAGGCCTCCTCGTGGTCGGGGGCGCTTTGGTGACGGGGGTCGGTGCCGACGGGGGCGCCGGCCCGAGCCAGGGGCGCACCGACCTCGGGGCGTGCCTGTCCCTCTGCAGGAGGAGTACTCCAGATTTCGTAATAAAAGGGAGGGGGTCTCAACCCTCCCAGACGAGAAGTTTTAGACCCCCCCCCGTGGGAGAACCCTCCAAAACATCGTCCCCAGACCCCCCCAGGCCCTCCAGGATAGCCTGGAAGAGACCCCCCCGAAGTGAGACCCCCCTCCCTTTATTACGAAATCTGGAGTATCCAAAAGGAGTTGAAAAGAATAGTCCGGGGACGATCAGGCCTCGGAACAAATTTATTTGCGAACACTCGTGCCACATTCATCTGTCAACGCCTCCCCCTCCCCCCAATGCTCAACGTTGGCGGTGGGTCTGATGAGATGCACTTCGACCGCAGTCTCCCCCGCGCGTGCCAACATTGAGTTTGGGGGGGGAGGGGGAGTGTTCAGTAATTGTTCCCCTCTACCGGTGTTTCGACAGTTCGTGAGCATTTTTTAGATATATAAGAACACATATTTTTCGCCCAAAATCCCCTTGTAGGGGGACAGGCCCGACATAACGTTAGCCAGAGCCCGGGGCGCACCGGCCCGGGCTTGCGTGCAGGAGCTTTCAGGAGCGGAAAAAGGACGTACATGTACATGAATCCACGCTGGTTTCGAGAGTTCGCATTGCGCAAATGTTCGTATGACGCGGCCGGTCTCGCGGATCGAGGGGCCGTGTTCATGTACATAGCTGGCCGCGTACGTCCTTTGTGGACTCCCTAAGCTTGCCTTGGCATCGCTTGGACCTGTGCATTCTTACTCGGCGAGGACCCTCGAGGAGCAGCCCAGATCGTCCTGCGAGAGCTGCACGCGCGAATGCAGAAACATGCACGGGGAATGGACGTCAGAGCGATGGCGAGTTACAGGATCTTTCCGGACCTTGCAGGATCCTGCACAGCCTGGCTGCCCAGGGCTTGGATTGACGCGGGTCAGTTGATCCCCGATTCCGTGGCGTGGAGAAGAAGGCAGTTTTCTAGTACGCAGCATCCCGAAATTGCGGATAAGAGTGAGGGGGCAGGCGCGGGCGACGCGGCCGTCGAGCCGGCGGACCTCGTGGCCCTCACCTTCCCTGTCGATGGCGCCCTCCTCCTCCTCCTCCTCCTGCTCCTCCTCCTCTTCCTCGTCCGCGTCCTCGTCCTCATCGTCGTCGTCGTCGTCGTCGTCGTCGTCGTCGTCCGCCTTCTTTTCCTCCACCTCCCTCCTTTTCCTCCTCCTCCTCCTCCTTTTCCTCCTCCTCCTTTTCCTCCTCCTCCTCCTCCTCCTCCTCCTCCTCCTCCTCCTCCTCCTCCTCCTCCCCCATCCCGATCCTCCCCCCTCCTCCTTTCCGTCGTCGCCGTCCTCGTCCTCCTCCCCATCCGCCTCCCTCCTTTCTCGTCGTCCCCCTCCGTCCCCCCTCGCCCTCGTCGTCGGCCTCCTCTTCGTCCTCGTACTCGTCGTCGTCGTCGTCGTCGTCGTCGTCGTCGCCGTCGCCGCCGCCGCCTTCGCCCCCGCCGCCGCCGCGGCCGCCGCCATCGCCATCGCCGTCGCCGTCGCCGCCGCCGCCGTCGCCGTCGCCGTCGCCGTCGCCGCCCCGCCGCAGGCGCCGAAAATTTTGCTCTGTACACTGAACGCGGTTTGGGTCGCGGGTGGGTCGCAGGTTCTCCACCTGGAACGAATGCAAGCGCCGAAAATTTTGGGTGGGTCGCGGG